ATACCTCATGGGACGTGGGATCATCGAACCGATCGATGACATCCGCGCCGGCAATCCTCCCACCAATTCTGAACTGCTAGGGGCTTTGACGCAAAGCTTCATCGACAGCGGATTCGACACGCGGCACATCATGCGCGAGATCTGCCAGTCGAGGACCTATCAGCAGTCGATCGCGACCAACAAATGGAATGAAGACGACAGCATCAACTTTTCGCATGCGACACCACGCCGATTACCAGCGGAAGTCTTGTTCGATGCCATCCACCAAGTGACCGGAAGCAACTACAACTTGCCTCAACTGCCTGCGGGATTTCGTGCGGCTCAACTTCCTGGAACCGATGTCACCATTCCTTTTCTGGACGACTTCGGTAAGCCAGCCCGAGAAAGTTCGTGCGAATGCGAACGGGCGACAGGGGTGATGCTCGGTCCGGTCATGAAGCTGGTCAATGGCCCGGTAATCAGCAACGCCATCGCCGACAAGAATAACGCCCTGGTTTCGCTTGCCGATAAAATCAAAGACGACCGAGCATTAGTCGACGAACTGTTCCTTCGATTCCTGGGACGACATCCTAGCGAAGAGGAGGTTCAACTTGGCATTGAATTGATGAACGAACCGACGCCTGATTTGGAAGTCGCCCAACAAGCCGTCGACTCTCACCGGCAAGCATTGATGACCGCGATGCCAGAGTGGGAAGCGTCGCTCGGACGAATCGCCAGCTGGACGCCTCTTTCCATGACCGAGGGAACCTCGAAAGCAGGCGTGAAAATCGTCTCGAAAGAGGATCAATCGGTACTCGTGACAGGACCGCTCACCAAGGACGAATACGAAGTGGTCTATGAAATCCCAGCTGGGCCGATCACGGGACTTCGGCTCGAGGCCATCCCGGATGATGCGTTGCCATCAAAAGGACCCGGCCGAGCTCAGAACGGGAACTTCGTACTCAGCGAACTGAAAGCCCAACTCCGCTTGGCCGACGGCAGCGAAGGACCGGAGATTTCGTTCAGTCGTTCCGAAGCGACTTTCTCGCAAGATAACTGGGACGTTCGCGGCGCCGTCGATGGAAACGTCAGCAGCGGGTGGGCCGTCAGTCCTCGCTTTGGAGAAAAACATACCGCGTTGTTTGAAACCGATAGCGACATCACGATTCCCAGCGACACCAAGCTGGTGATTCGCATGGATCAGCAATATCAGGACGGAAAGCATCTTTTGGGTCGATTCCGTTTCTCGATCACCGCCAGCCAACGGCCGATCCGGCTAGAAAACAATCTGCCGGCCGATATCCGAGACATCATCGCCAAGCCTGCGGAACAACGAACTGCTGAGGAGACGCAAAAGCTTACCTCGATGTATCTCTCCGGCGATTCGCAGCTGCAGGAACTGGAAGCGAAGTTGACGCAGGCACAAGCACTCGACAAAAACCGTCGCCTCACAGGCCTACAGGACTTAGCATGGGCTTTGATTAACAGCCCA